CAGCGGTCTCACAAAAAGCTCATCAACGTGCTGAAGTGGAACTAGTTGCTTATAGGCTCCGTTAGTGTCGTCGTTTGTTGTTCATCTTGTCAATCGTTATTTGGGCCGCTGTCTAGGTTTCCGCCCATACAAACCCTCCACTGTCCTCCATTTTGGGATATTGCCACAGCGTGCTTATGTGGGTGTGTTAACTGAATTACGTAATCAGGGATCAACCCATCATTCCTTGAGGTTCTTATCCACTTCATCAATTGCGAATAAAGAGCGACACTTTTTCCCTTTCTTCTGGGTTCATCCGGACGGGGGGGAGATACAGCGCGACATGGTATCCATCCGGACGAAATGACCAGTCTTGGGGATATTGCTTTCCTCGTAGTGTTTCGCAGTAATACTAAGCGGTTAATATTAATCATTGTAATGATGAGGAGATAATTTCACCACGTCATTATTCTACCCCCGACAGATTCATGCCTATCTGGATCGTTTCGTAGTAGGTCAAGATCGTGCCAAACGGGTTCTTGCTGTTCAGGTCTATGCACACTACAATCGCATCAACCACAATAACCTCGTATCAGCTTCAGAGGGATCTTCCATCGGACCACAGTCGGCAAATACCACCAATACAGGATCTGCAACGTCTAGCCACTCGAAACATCCTAACAACAGTCCTTATATCCCTGGAGTGACTTCGCCCCCAACCAGTTCAGGAGGGTCACATTCTCCTGGATCGGGACAGGGCTCTTCTCTAGACAATTTTCGACTTCCTGGTGCATCGCAAAATTCGGCACACGTGCCTCCGGGGGCTCTTTCGGGACCGGGTACATCTGTGACAGGTATGCATATACATTCTGTTACAATTGCACACCCACACTATCGAATAGTTTATGATGACAGTACTCCCTGCCTGTCCACATCTCTATTCGCTTCGTTTATTGGGTTTCCTTGTTGTCCTGGTTCGTTTCTTGCCCTGATTTTGAACGTCAGACAGAACAGTTGTGATCGAGTAACTTGCGTGACTTCCAGAGGAATCACTAACCGTCGATTATGGGCATCCGCCATTCCGAGCATTCGATAAGTCGGCCTATCCTCATATGAGACAGCCAAATTGAATAGAAGCACTCGTACAGAGGCTTTTCTTGTCTGAATGGAGATGATAGTTGAGTCTATCCCGTAAATTCAATATATCTGATGCATGAGCCTTCATGAACTTTTAACAGACCTCACAGAGGTTGGAAACCATGGCCTCTAAGTAATCGCTTACCTCATCCGAGGTGGGTTCGAATCAATGTCGCCCGTCAGTAGCTTGTGTCATCAAATTTCACATTTCTTGGCCTGCAGCTCCTGCTGACGAACCAGTTTTCTATCTTTAGTCGTCAACCGATACTTCGCTAATGCTGCTTTCAAGTAGATCTTTGTGTGTCCCTACCATTTTGAAGCGTACCTCTCCACATAAGAACCGAACCGTGCCATCGCCTTTGAATCTCGACGAATCTGATTGCAACACTATTCGTCAGTCGCTCTCGTTTGCTCAGCTGCTTCGTCGATCACACTCGCGCAAAAAGTGCGTAGCTTTTGGAACGCCGTACTTAACGAGCATCCGAGAAGCACTGAAGGTTCTCTCTGTTGGGTAGCTTTCTGACGGAGGAGGCTCTTCAGAATAGCAGGTTTTCAGATAAGTACAGTACTTGGTGGCATGGCGGCGATAGTCTGTCCCAGAATCGGTGGAATCTTCGTTTCATCGGTTCTTATCGTTCTCAAACAGCGAAGGAACGACTGGTTTGTTCGGGAACACAGCACAACCTTGTTATTAATGTATTGCTTCGACAAGAATGGGTTTCGTCGGTTCAGTCCGTATTCCGAGGTTGCGTCCTTGTATTTAGCTAGTGACACTGCGAGGCATATACAGTCTGTATTTATTAAAATTGTTTAACTGAGTGTTAGAAGTGTATTTACCTCGGATGTTTGTAGTAGACCACCCTCAGCCCTTTTTATACCTTCGTTCGTTCTCCGTAGTAGTACATCCAAAAAATCAACGTGGTTCTGTCACACTCACTGACGACAATGAGAATTTATTTGATTACAGCAGTCAGTCCGCCTATAAACATCTCTGTAGAGTTTTTGTCGCTCCGGCGTATGGCCTCGTAACCGTGCTTACTCTTGCCGATCCTCAATGCCCGAACAAAGTTCCTCCACACGCGCTGTTTGACGGTGTCGGTTTTCACTGACAACATTTTCCAACCTGTTCGTCAAACCGTCGGACGCGACTTCATCCATACCTAGCTGAGGCCTTCTTGAAGAAAAAATCCAGCCTTCCTCCATTGATTGAACTTAGTCAAGATAACCCATTCTGGCAGTGGCCACAAAATTGAATGCGTGTGGGCACGGGCCAGTTGCCTTTGTCTTGCAATGACGAAGTTCCTGCAAGACACAACACCACTTCACGCACGCACACCTAATAGTTACATATGCTACTTATGAACACGGAGGGTTTTCTATCCTCCTGGGATTCGCTATTTCGCTGTTCGTGACGTTCCAAATCGATGCTCGTCCCGAGAACTTTCTACTTCTCCGGGTTTGACTGCCTCAATTCTTGAGTGAAGTACCTGCTAGACATTCTTGGTTATCATTTTTTGCAGAAGAATCCGTGGCCGAGACTATCAGGCAATGCCCAAGCGTGTGCGCGAAACCCGGAGCCGTAATTCCAGTGGTCGGTCAGGCGCAGACTCCGGGACCACAACCTGCAGTGTCTGCCGGCAACCGAAGATTAACTCCATCGTCCCTAATTCTCCACCCGGTTCCCTCAGTTGCCTCTATGAGAAAAGGTTCGCTAGTGTTTCGCTCGATGTGGCCCGTTGCTGTTCACCAAGTTAATTGTGCACTGTTACTACTTTCCTTTCTTTGGGAAGGTTCCTCGTTTGTGTCTCTCCAAATTAGTCTTTCTTTCCTTCTCCCGCCAGAACTTTTCAATATTCTACGAAGCGGTACCCTCGGAAATTCCAAAAGTGGATCGGGATCTTCCTCAGGTTCACTTTCTTTTCCCTTCATTTCCGACGCCTCTCACGAAGGACAGAGTGAAGCTGACAAACGTCGTCGAGGGTCTGGCATACTCTCGGATGACTCGGACCAGCCAGTTAAGTTGGAGAAGAGCAACATCGTTCTACTAGGTCCAACAGGATCAGGTGAGGAGGTTGCATCAACTTTATCCACACTTCAGATATTTTTATTCTGAACTCGAGATTGCTCAGTGGTTAAGGCGTCAACTTACTGACCGGAATATCCTTGGTTCGGACCCAACATCAATATCTCGACTACTCCTGTGTAGGCTTGGAAAATCTGGCAGTACCTCAGCCATCGTGCTTCCTTCGAGTGCATGGCAGGTATGCACGGAGAAGGTATTATAGCTGAATTATTATGTTTATGTATTTTTCTTATTACCTTCATCCAAAAAAAAACGGATTTCCGCTTACTGGCTCCGGCCGAGGAGACAAAAACAGGTGGCTTTGCGAGCGCCTACTATGAGTTTTCAATCTAGTTCGAAACGTTTGCTGAACCAACTAAATCGAGTCTTCATAGAAATGGGCTCGTTTCGGTTGCTTGTGTCCGTGTTTTAAGCAAGCTTTATGGAGGAGTCGCGACAGGATCGTGACCACTGTGGTCTCTTTAGTCCGAAAGCTTGGCGATCGACATGTCTTGATCGCATCAGCGTTCTCCCACGCTTAATGCTATTAGTACCGTGAAGCAAATCTGATTGTGAACTTTCTGACCGACCATGTTAGTGCTGTAGACTGCGATTAAAATGTCGGTTCTTGGCTTACTGTCCCACCCACCATAGTATATCAAAAAGCACGGTAGCTTGAATCAAAAATGATTTGTACAGCTGTGTTTATATTGGTCACAACTAAGCTAAGCTCCTTGAGGGGTGCTATGGGCCGAGCTAAAACACCCGACTCTTATTTACCCGTGTTGTGACTAATCGGAACGGGCCGTTTTTGTTCGCCGGTTCTCTACGCATCCGTCCAATCGACGCAATGTGTGGTTCTTTCGAGTGGCTTGCCTTCGGCTACAGTCTGGTGACCATTTCTACGATTGGCTCGCATGAACCAGGTGTCTGGGGTGCTCATAAGGAGGTTTGGTCATCGTACTACTTTGAATCTGTACTGAGAAGGAGCCAGGTACTGTTTGATTGGGACTCATACATACGCAGTGCTAATGAACGTCGATTAGGAGGAATCAGCTGTCTACCATATCGCTGATTATGGTTTAGTACAACTCCTTGAAAGTAAATGACTCCGATTCACTTGCTAGCACGGAGGACTTGAGCCAATATATTCGTTCCATATTGAAAGATCCATGGTACAACATAACCTCCGAGCTATCGATCGCTGATTTCCCAGCTTGTGTAGTCCATTCGTGTTTTACCAGCCGCGCTTTTTTGAGGATGTACGGCTTCCATGCATTATCGGTATGCTACGGCTGAAGAGCTTAATTTTCTTGATGTAGTACCGTAAACCCCTAAGGAGCAAGCATTTCGAGAAAGGTAACTCCCTCCATGAGTCCAAAAGTTGCCTACTGTCAGTCATGACCTAGTTTTAAATCCTCCTTAAGGGGAGATCAGAAAGTATCACTCTCCACGATGTTCTGTCTTTCGAAGTAAAGGTCCGCTACCCCATATTCTTTCTTGTGTATTCAACTTTTGGACCCAAAAGGCGATGGGCGCGTTCGCTCAATCGGCCAGCTATATATATATATATATATATATATATATATATATATATATATATAGTAGAATCATGAATGAGACCTTTGCGCCTTGCTCTTGAGATCTCAGGTTAGGCGATTTCCGCGCAACCAGTCACACTATTGGGACATCGGCTACATACTACCTCCTGCTTTATGGGTTGAACTTTTGAGTCGGTCCACGGCTAAAGTTCCGTAACAAAATCCTAACTATTCTCCGATCACCTTACAGACAGGATTTTGTTCGAGCCGAAGACTTTGTAGGCCGAGGCTTGTGCTTGGGGACATCCACTACTCTCAACCGCATTTGTTCTACATTTCTGTAGTCTTGTCACCATTTCAAGGCAGCACGGAGCTTTACTCAGTTGTATTTTTGTCCCGTTTTTCGTGTCTTAGGCAAAACCCTCCTTGCCCAAACGTTGGCTCACTGTCTTGACGTTCCATTTGCAATCTGTGATTGCACCACGCTTACCCAAGCTGGCTACGTTGGTGAAGACATCGAGTCTGTGATATCCAAACTTTTGCAAGATGCCAACTTCAATGTCGAACGGGCCCAACAAGGTATTGTGTTTTTGGACGAAGTGGACAAAATCAGCAGCAAAGCAGGTTTTTTGCATTCCATCCGGGATGTTGGTGGAGAGGGTGTCCAACAGGTGAGTCGTTTCTACCGTTCATTCGATTGACACCATCTAATGAGGTTTATCCAAAACAGCATTGTTTAAACGTGTCAACTTACGCGACTAGTAAGGCTACTCGACCTGAGTAATCCGTGCGGACTTTTCTCAAAAATGGTTGAATCATGACAGTGTCATGGAATAAACGTCATTTGTAACTTCAGTATGACGCTACCGTCGCCTCCAACACTTTGGCTGCGCTCCTTCATATTCACTGCCTGGCTAGTCCGCTGAACGGTAACTTTATGGTTTCGAGCCACGTTCCACCGGTTCCGTTATGGAGGAACATATTTTCTCGATGCATATGTAGATCTTTTTGAGCTTAGCCGATTCCGTTTCAATAGAATAGTCCTCTGTTATTTTTTTCCATATCCTGTTGGTTCCGAGACGTAGCCTTGGAATGGGGCCATTCAGATGTTCTTCTGGAATAAACTGAACCATTTAGATTCAGTGTCAAAATGTAAAAGCTTTTACGCCCTTGTGTTTAGTGGTACTCATGGGCCTTAGGTTGTTCCATACTGCACTGGTGTTTTCCGGTCAAAAACGTGAGGAACACCGAGAAAATTTCGGTGTCTCCTGTTCGGACAAACAACGCTGGTGGGCGCACGTAACTGGTGGGAATTGAAATTCTCCGCTAGTGTTCTTATCTTTCGATGTAGCGTATGAAAGCGGCATTTTAATAGTATATAACTATCAACTCGACCTCATGGGAGAGTTACGCATGCACGTTCTGGCCAGCTGTACTGTTATCGCTGCCGCCAACACCCCGAAGACGCACGGCAATAAGGCGCAGAGCCTACCAAGGCAGATGGACGCACGAGAAAGTCTACAATATGACCAGTGGAAGATTATATATACATACAGATATCGCGATATATATATATATATATAATGAACTACTAATAAGATACTTTCTCGCTTCCCAAACAGCTGGTTTATTGTGTAGGATGAAAGGCTACCGTCACAAAGAGACTAGGCCTTACTGTGGTTTGACGGTTTGCGCACCTCAGTGGCCCATTGAGCTCTGCTGGGGGATCTCCCCTCGTCACTCCCATACCAGGTTGGTCAGTGACTAGAGGTCTGACGAACACCGGTCTCCTGGTCCTCCAGGTTGGAGGTTTGAACATGTGACGACTTGTTCCGTAAAAATGGTAATGCATTTTCATTTCCTTCCAAACACCGCTGCTTTGCGTTTAGGCTTTTGAGCCAAATGCTTTGGTTGAGGACCCTAATCGTCCTCCTGTCTAGGTGTGGGCGCCCTGACAGTATCCCAGCCCACGTACAACCATGAACTACACATATACAAATACGGCAGTGAAGGATCGGTGTTGAACACTGCTATTTTTGTTGACGGTGATGACGATGATAATGAAAGGCTGCAGTGGAAGCCCCATGTGCCCCATGGCTTAAGATTCGTTATTTGATTCCACCGTGAACTGACCGGCATCACAAGCACTACTTATCCATTATCATTTCCGGGCTAGATTTGAAGTAACAGAACTGCAGCAACGCACACTGACTCCGTATTTCTGGTGTCCCATTAGTCACTGTGATTTTTATGATAGACAGTCTAGTTGTTTAGTTTTCATTCGAGGTCGAAAGTGTCTAGACCTGAATAGATGACAGTAGCTGGCCGGTTTTAAACAGGTTTACCACTACACTCATACACCTCGATAGATGCAAAACTCTTGAATATCTGCAACCTTCGCCCCAACCTAGGCTAAGCACGTTACCGCTTTCCACCACCAAGAAATCTCCATTTAAATATGATACCACGCCGCAAATTTTGAGTGAGGACGGAAGATAATGCAGTTTGTGCTGGTCATTCTTCCCACGAGGAAATGCTCTTGACAGGACAGTATTTCGTCATTCTCCTGAAAGAATCTTATTGAGAGCTATGTAGACCATTGTACCAGCCCACAGGCAGGTTATTTCGGAGGAATGAATTGTAACAAGCATTCACAGTCAGACTCGTCTAACCTTTCCTAGATTTGTGAGAAACTGTGTTACCAATTTTACAGCTAGAATTCATAGCAAACCAACACAATGCCTATCATAGGCACGAGGTTATTTTAAGATGCACATACTTTACAAAATTCTTTCCACATTTCAACTCTTCTGTATGATAAATGTTTTCACCCGAAGCAGCTGATGTGCTCACATGTCTTGACAGCCTTGTTGGCAGTCATATGGCAACACGTGCTTTGCAATGTGTTCAACCTGTCTATTCATGTTTCGCCCGCTGTTTCAGTCAGTTGTACGTAAGATGTATAGTATCTTATCATGGCTGTATAGGTCATCTAAAGTTATCTGGCATCCTGTTTCGCATCTCAGAGCCAGCCCTGTATAGTTTGGCATGGCCAACACCATTCTCCAAATTAATTCACTTACTTCTTTCAAGGGAATGCTAAAACTCCTCGAGGGTTCGATTGTGAACGTTCCCGATGGGAAGGGCTCAAGGAAGCTGCGTGGAGAAACTGTCCAAGTGGACACGACGAATATTTTGTTCATCGCCTCCGGAGCGTTCAATGGTCTTGACAAAATAGTCGGACGCCGGAAACACAAAAAGGTGAGACGGTACACAATGGTACTTTTCTTTGAATTGCTTTTGTTACTGGGACCTAAGTTGTTGTTTTTTGGTCAATATGTCACCGGGATGGGATGGCTCAGTGGTTAGAGTGCGAATTTCCTAAACGGAAGGTCCGTGGTTCGAACCCGATCTCTGTCTCTGGACTTCCCCTGCCTAGGATTGAGCAACCCGACAGTATCCCAGCCCTCTTGCTTCCTTCTGGTGGCATGGTAGTTAGGCACCGGAAGGGTGCTACAGCTGAACGAATGTCACCCAAATTTTTTCTCACGCACTTTTTGTCCCTCTTCACTGTTTCATGATAGGAGAAATATGTACCCATTACTTCATCTACCAGCGTGCCCGACAGACAAAATAGGAAGCGAAGTGAGATTAACTCAGGACAATCCTCCTCAGCACCAACGAAAATTTAGTCTAATCCAAGGAAAGAAGTTACCCTTCCTCTGCGAAATTCTCACTCCAGAAGCTAAGATTAATAATGGCAGTAACGGCATTAGTAACCGTTCAATATTACACCCTTTCAGTCCATGCTGTCACGCTAACCGAAAAACGCACAAGGACTGAGGTACCACTAGGTTGTCCAAGTCTATACAAATTGAAGTGCATAGGCTGGGTTCGGACCATGGACATTCTTGTCAGTTCGCACCTTAACCACCTGGTTATATCGGGGCCTTGGAACTAGTCAATTTTAGATCACTTAGTCTGAACTACACGCCACTGATTAAGCAGCCAAAAATTAGCTGTAGCGTCCGAACTTCTATTCAGACCGTCGCGGATTCGAACCTGCCTCAAATTGTGGGTTGTGCAACAGAAAAAAGAGGGACATTTCGGTCATTTTTTGGACTAATTTGACACGTTTAGGGCGTTCAAAGAATTCCGCTGCATTTTTTTCTAACGGTGGCGTCTTCGAAAGCGTTACGAATTGCCCTGCTGATCATTCAACAAGCCAAGCACAGTTTGCAGTTCGCATTAGTTATAAATCTGGTACTATTCGGGGCATCTTCCAGAATGCTCGTTTTCTCTTCGTTCATAGGAATTCTCCCTCATCGGCTAAGTATCCTCCAAAGCCCTCCTCCGTTCTATCTATTATATTTCTCACCTAAACCTCCTTTAAGATAGCCTTATTGAACTTCAGGGTCGATCTGCCGACTGCCACTTGAAGCGGTCATAACAAAGTGTACCCTTAAGACAGAAGTGCACGATGCCATGCACCGCATACTTTAATCTGTTTCCGTTATGAACTATTACGCTCTTTAGTGTTATTCTGTCGAATACCCAAGCGTCATTTTGTGTCACGACCTAAAAGGGTCACCCAGAGAACTTTTTGTTCTGTGAGACTGAAGCACTTCTCAGCCCCAAAGGGTCCCATTTTGGAATTTGTTACAGCCTGTATATTTAACCTGTCACTATACTTTTCTGAGCTGAAAGAAAAAATATCGCATTTGGTTAGATATCTTAAGTTCAGCTAAATGTTGCAGGCTTGCAAGAGCTGTCCTGGTAAATTTCATCATTCTTAAGTGCCTGTGATAGTTTGTATAAAGGCGTGGCAGCTGACGCCCCTTGCACGATGATTTCTCCAAGGTCATTGCAACATCCTCTATATATTCACTATTCAAGCGGTTGCTCAGCCACCCACGAGCTTGTTGAGACAGCATAGTCCCTCATCTCACTCAGTTGTTAGTGGACCGTAAGATTGTTCTGCTTCCCCTTTTGGTCAGCCATATTTAAATGTCTCTTCTTTCACGATAGATCGGTAAGCGCTTTGTATTTTCCTTGAAATTCCTTGTGTTTAGTTGTCAAAAATTTCTCCTGTGGATTCATGGATCTTTCCTTGACGTGACTTGATTTACCCACCAGTATTATTCAAACCTACTGAACTGTGGCGACGCGTAATTTAGCTTTATAATATTTTTCACGTCTTCCATCATACCATGTGCACCGTGACGCGTAACGCACTTAAAACGATTCACTCAGGATCAGCTGATCCACCGTACGTGCCGTCATGTGATGTTTTGACAGTAACTGGTTTTCGTTCTGTTCGCAGTTTGTTTGGCAATTCGATTGCCATCTAGAATCGGAGCAGTTGTAGTTTAGATCACCGCACACCATGACGCTACGCTATCCTACAGAAGTATTTACAATCCAAACTTCATCAAGTCCTTGATTAGTCATGTATGTGTGGCGCGAGGATACCACGCCGTTTCATACAGTAATCGTCAGTGTATTGCGCCCAGGTTCTACATGTTTTATCAAACTATACTGTCCCACTCATTTTATATGCCTACTCTCCGTCCTACTGTCAAGCAATATGTCCAACAATAAGATCACTTCGATCGGATTGCTGCATTTTAGGAACTAAGCACATCTGAAGACAAGTACACCACAAGTTTTTTCTCGGTATACTTTCCCCTTTTACACCCTTTTGTCGCTTTGACACAAAGCCTTGACTACCGTGGACGGTAATCACATGAGTCCAAGCTCAGTTCAGAAACAAGGGGGCGAGATGGCTCAAGTGGTTAGAGCGCGAATTTACTGACCGGAAGGTCTATGGTTCGAGCCTGACCTATGCCTCTCGACTTCCCCTGTCTAGGCTTGGGCAACCTGGCAGTATCCCAGCCCCGGTGCTTCCTTCGCGTGGCATGGCAACTAGGCACCGAAAGAACCTCGCAGCTGACTGGTTATTCAGAAACAAGAACGTGATTAAAATATAATGGTGATGCCCGACCTTCGAACTACGAGATGTCCCTGAGACAATGATGATTCTCGCGGTTTTGAAGAATATCACCTGAGGTGCCTACGACAGAGTCAGTGGCCTTGTTCGATCTCCATAAGCGCCACACAAGGATGTGTCAGGCTGGGACCTTCGGGGCGAGAATTGAACAGTGATCTATGCGAATATTTGTGTCGCATGGGAAAGGCCTGTTTCATGTTAGAGAGCCTTACCTCACTGGCTGCAAGCGAGACCATTGGTAAAGTGATGAATGCGGCAGAAAACCCCTTTCCCAAACGCTTTGCACCGGGTCGCATTTTATTCGCCTAAATCTCATATCTTTTACTGTTCTATAAGCGGATGCTCAAAATTACGATGAATTGTGATAACTACTTGATCATGATTTTCCCGTCACTTCCGACCGTGTATTGGATGCTTCAAAAAAGAGCATTTTCGATAACAGATTCCACAATCGTTGTACACGTGTGCTCATGAACTGGGTCAGTTTTCATGAACCGTCTAACTACCAGTGAACACATCTAAATAGAAGGCTGTGGATGGTGTGGATAGATCACTTCCAAGGGTGCACCATATTTGATGACCAGCTTCAAAAACTTAATCGAATGTTTAGGAGGCACGCAGCTGCTGAAAGCCGTTGGGGCAACCAAGTTGGCGGTTTCCATTAGACAGCTGCCGAGCAGAAAGTGCAAATGAATGATCTATTTGACCGTCAGGTAAATGGCTTCAATGTGTGCCTTAGCAGTGTGATCAATCTTGCCTGATCGTTGGTTGGACATGTTCATTTCTACGTGTCTAAGGTGTTCGACGTAGTCTGCTCGGTTTTCTGACATTCATAGGGAATCCAATCGCAGCAGTGTGAGGCTGATCATTGTCTGACTTTACGCAGGGTCCGGGAGCGTCCTATACTTTTTCGGACATAATTACTTGGTGTTGAACTGTAAGTATTGTCCGTTTCCCATGAAATGTCCGCTATAACTCAAGTTATGGCGCAAGTCCCGGATGGAAGTACTCTACTGTATACTCTGGCCTAGGCTCTGGATACTGGGTATCGTTTCACCTTTCGTGCTTCGATGGGTTGTGTGCACTTTGTCATAAACGAATGTTTTGGCGAATTTTTCCGGTTTCCTCTGATTATCGTACCTGCTAGCGTCTCCGTAGAATTGATCCACTTCTCAGCAGTGTCGTCCTGTTTACCTCATTTCACGTGACACCCTCGTCTAGACCGTCGGATTTGCAGATCTTAGTTCTCTTCCCGATCCCCATCAACCGCGGGCGGAAGTGAATCCAGAGCGTGAGGGTTTAGACAGCTTGTTCAACTCATTCGAGTCCAGCGCGACGGAGGAGAATGCCGAACGAGATCGATTGTTGGAAGAGGTCGAGGCCAGAGATCTCATCGACTTCGGAATCATCCCCGAATTTGTTGGACGATTCCCTATCATTACAGTCCTACACTCGTTGAACGAAGAGATGTTGGTCCGAATCTTGACGGAGCCTCGCAACGCGTTGCTGAAACAATATCAACTTCTTTTCAGCATTGACAAGGTGAGATTTGCTTAACTTGTGATCTTGTGTTGTCTGCTTTTATCAGGTTTTGCTTCGTTAGTGTAAGTTATTGTATTCATTTTGAAACCTGCTACGTTTATCTCGCTGGAGAAGGCCACCCACCTGGAGAGTCCATTGCGACGTTCCCTGTCACTGCGACCTGGTGTAGAATCCCTAGAGCACAAGCCATTCCTTTTCGCTGTGACGATCTTTTCTCGGGGATACAATAATATCTTCGGTGGAAGGATATCATCCTAAAAGAGGCTTCTCAAACTCCCCGGAAGAATTTTCTTTGTGACCACGCGGAAATGCCCTTACCATCTTTTTCCGGAGAGGTTCCCTTTGGTGGGATTACCGTATCTCACTAAGATTGGTGCACGTAGACTTTTGATCACAGCTGCTCTGTTCGCTGATCACAAAGGTCAATATTCAAAGGTCCGTTATCTGTCCTCGGGACTCGATTGTCCTGGCGGAGTTGCCAGAACGAACTAGCGTAGCCAGTAGACAAACTGCATTTTGAGAAAAAAGGACGGGGCCGGCTCAGCCGCTCAGCCGCCACGTTCTACCAGCAAAGTTCGTCCGACTGCGACAACCTTCTGCACCTTACATGTATTACAACTCTTATCCTTCGAACTTTTTCTAAGTTATGTTGGTTTATTTCGAAAGGTGCATTGACCGAGACAGATCGTTGCACACATTCTTGGATATGGATGACTTTGGTCAATCGAATCGTAGTTCTCGTGTGAGAGTGCACTTATTAAAACGCGTTCATGTATGTAAACTAGTCTATGCAGTTGGTACGCTGAAACGAAATCTATGGTGTGGTCTCCATGCATTGACGTACGGCCAATAACTGTGTCAAGGACAGCAGATAGGTTGTTTGAAACGTGTGTTGAGGAAGCGTACCGTTTTGATTGGTGTCCTGTACCAACCCATAACGTTTACATCACAAGTGGTCTACAAGCGGAACCTCGGCGTACTGGCCGCTACGACCCAGCGACGCTTTACCATCTCGCTCAATTCTTTGAACCATATGTCCATAATTCTGGAACTTACCGAGTTGTCCTAGGCTAACTGCTTCACGCTGGGTAGACCAGCTATCGTCACATCATGGATTGCAGTTTCTTGGCTGTCTGTTCCAAATGCCTATCGTAATATTACCTTTCGGTCAACCTACAGGGATGTCGGTGAATAAATTGGTAACGTCGGTTGAAGGCTATCACCTAGAAACTCACTCCCGGGACGGGACGGGAGGCTTAAACTCATGGGTGGACTTGGCACAGTTGACAACCTAATGGCCTTCAGTTCATAGTCTTCCTTGGTTCCCCACGCACTGCAGTGTATGTCTATTATAGAACCATGACCTGATTTTCATCGCAAGGTGGCTATTGTGCCCATTTTCACACTTATATATACTCTTTTTTTTTCGTGTACGTGCATAAGCCATAAATTAGGGTTGTGCGAAGGGTTTTTGTCAGGACGCGCCCAGACGTGGAAAAAGTATATGTGCAGAGAATGACGCATTTCCACGGTCACCATCGGTACGACACGTTCGGAAAGCAGATGCGTTGGCGGAGCTCACCAAACACGGCTTAGCAAAATACGACCAGCGGAGTGGGCCTGAAAATCTTCACGACCGGAACACCGCCATTGGCTGTACAGAACGGACAAGTGAACGACCATATTAAACCATTTAGTCGTCCTATATATTTACGCAGAAGCTTTGTACGTTTTCTCCTGACAATACAGCCGTGTCCACATTTCTCGGTGTCTCCTTATCGGCAGGCTCAGTGCAGGTGTAACCAATAGACGGCCACCCACGACACAACAGTTTTCTAACCGTCTTTCAAAATAGGAGTTCAAAAGGAAGAAAGAAAACATTCCCCTACTACGAGGCTGTGGTTGAAGCGTGAGCAGATGAGGACAGGGTACACCACTATGACTTACCAAGATCCTGAATGTGAACCCGAATACACATAGTGGACGTGACTTGGATGTAAGTTATCCTGCTTACTGGATGAATGCTCTACTAACTGAGCTACCGCTGACGTTGTCCGAGTCATCAAAGTGCTGTCCTCTTCTCTCAGGAGATGCGGCTCTTTACATCTTTATTTCCGAAACATCAAGCGAAGCTGTCCCTATGAATAGAAGCTCTCGCAGAAAAGGGGCTTCTGTGGCACGTCAGTTTACCTGGTCTTAAAAACAGCGAAAACCTGAAGGCGTGCGGAGAGGATTTTTGAACACTTTTTGCATAGTGTTTGTCCTAGTAACCTCGTAGTAAGACTTGTGGGCTGTCATAAATCTCACTCGGCGGTCTGATTGTTGCCTTAAAGCAAACCTCTTGAGTGACCCGGCGAGCCTCTTATCATCTGTTTTCAAAGCACTCGAGTAAACTCATTGAGCCCCTCAAAAGGGGACGGCCTCACTACAGTCAAAAAATCTTATGAAAATCCACCGAGAGAACCCTTTTTGTGGACCCCTAGGTAGTGAACTTTCGTCAGGGGTCTGTGTTGTAGGACTCAAGAAAAGAACATTCATTGTATGGACGCAATACATTACTCATGGGGTTGCTGAAAACAGCCCACGACCGGTTTTGTCCTTCGGGTTCATCAAGAAGGTGCAGTTGTCATAAACGAGTGATTCAGCTGAATTTTCGGATGAGTCTCCTGTCGAAACCAAATCGCTAAACCAACATCCAATTTAGTTGGGCTCACGGGAGTCAAATCCGGTTCATTAGTGAGCTTACACATTTGTGTTGCCTTCTTTAAATTTTACCTGCTAGCAAATATCGGGGCACTGGTCGGTCCGTGGATGGATCTTGGTCTTCTATATCACAATTCTTTGTCCAATCTCATCTAATCTAACTTCGAGTTAATCACACAGCTAATCAGCTGTTCGTGGCCGCACGGTTTTGGTGTTCAGACTACTAGCCTTGGGGATCAGGCATTCAAAACTCCTCAGAGTTCCGTCAGATGTACACTTGATTATTCTCCATAAGGATGAGGCAGCTTTAAAGTATTTCTCGGTTTTTTAGTATGGATGGGTTTCATCTATAGGACGACACTCTGTTTCTGTCTCGTTTGATGGGTTGTAATGAGACAAAATTCAGCATTTCTCGGCTGCTTGCCTCGGTGGAAACTCCGTGGGGCTACATTGGTTTATGGTTTGTCTTTCATGAATCGGTGAAGGCGTCTCCCTATAAGTCGTACATTTGGTTTCGAATCCATTTCAGTTGCTTAATATGTCTTCATGAGCTGAGGCTTTTTTGTCTGCAGAGTTTAATTTTGGCTCATTTATTTTGGTCAACTTTTTCCTGAATTTCAGTGCGAATTGAAAGTCACTCCATCAGCACTCAGGGCGATTGCAAGAGAAGCTTTGTCTCAGCGAACTGGTGCCCGTGGTCTACGATCAATACTGGTTCGTTCGGAAGTTTGGTTTGCACAATTTTTGGGGTGCTCTTGATCGTATACTTCGTATAACGTCTGTGACGTTAGTTTGCTTACACAGGGATATCGGTCTCTCCCAACAGTGTTGTCCAGTATGGAGGTCAAGGCCTTGGTGTTTCAACGCCCTTTGCTGAGCAGCAGCACACAGAGGGGCTTTTGCTGTGGCGGTTGTGTTGAGCTCACTAGTCACTCGATGTCTTCCCCATAAACAACCCGGTGACACTCCATAAGTTATACTAGTGTGGCACGTTTCAGTTGTGTAATAATTAAAAAGCCCCAAAGTGTTCAAACAAGGGCAGAAGCGAAAAAGCACTAACCGAGAAACTCATTCATGTTGGCACCTACTGTCTTTCTGCAAGTGAAAAAAGTGAAACAAAACGCTGAAAGGTATAGGTTAGTTGTCAGGTTAGGTACTTTTCAGTCTTTGGCTGTCCACACCCACCTGCAAAACGGTTGATGCCTCTTCGCAACTGCATCGGTTTTTACCAACGTGTGTGGCGGCGGCCTCCGGTTTGCGAATCAATCAGCTCGAGGGATGTCTCGAATCACAGTAACCTAGGTAGGGCGATGTGGAGCGAAGTTTGTGCCTATGTCAATCCGCTTAAGTTAATCAGCGTACGTATCCGCTGACTTTTTGACTCGCGTTGTGATTCAGCAACCCAGTCAACACTAGCAGGCAGATTATAGTGATCCAATATTTCCGCTGGTAGTTTCAACCCGGGTGTCCAAACTGATGGAGTGGGTGATGTTATGTGACCAACTCAGCTCCCCTACGTCGCAGAATCCACTCCTTCAAACCAGGACTCAAGTATTCCTGTGTACCAGCTAATAAGACCCCCAAACCTCCGAAGATCCTCATTTCGTAAGGGCTATTGCGCGTACCCTTACAGGAAATCCGGACTAGCGTTACACTGCTGTACGCCAGCTTAATTCCTTAGACTGATTTCATGCGATTGAGTGGTCCAACACTATTGATCCATCGTTCAGCTGTAACACCCTTTTGGTGTCTAGCTGCCATGCTACCCGAAGGAGGGCAGGGATACTGTCAGGTTGCCCAAGCCTAGACAGGGGAAGTTGAGAGGCAGAGGTCGGGTTCAAACCACGGACCTTGCGGTCAGTAAATTCGCACTCTAACCACTTAAGCCATCTCGCCCCTACACTACTGATACAAGCTATCACCTCCAGTGAATAGCTGTGTTAACACCTTACGGCCGTTTTTCACTGTTAAACAAAGAACTGCTACTTTCGGAACCTATGTACCTTAGTTTTCGGTTTTCGCCTGACGCAGTGCACCGTACAAATGCGCAGAGACGCTACTCTGGTTTCGCGGTCGCTAGTTCGTGATGCAGACAAGTTATGAGGTAGCGGGGACCAAGCGATTTTCAATTGATTATGGAATCGAATCGATAGACTTAGCGATCAGGTTGGGATACTACAGCAGTTTACCCTGCTATAAGTAATTTCCCACCCGAAGGAAGCACAAGGACTTAGATATTACCAGGTTGCCCAAACCTCGACAGGAGCAGTCGAGATGAGGTTGGGTTCGAACCACAGATCTTCCGGTCAGTAAATTCTTACTTTAACCACTAAGCCACCTCGACCTTGCTATAAATAATGCACATCCTTGTGAGCTTTCTAATCTTTCACCCTATATTTTTGCTTCAGGAACGGTTACTACTTCCGGCGCGCTATGAAGTACCTGGCTCAGACATCGCTTCTGTCGTTATCACCGAGGACGTTGTGTATGGTCGTGAGCCTGCAATATATGGCTACAGATCCGCCTCGTCCGCATCTGGGATGTAAAGTCTCACCGTGTTGTTTGTGTGTAAGCTGTCGTGCTCTGTCCGGAAGTTCGTAACAGATGCCCCCATTATTATGGGCGAATATTTGGGTCCCTGTTTCTCCATCTTCTTATCAGGTGCATCCAGCATATCGGATGTTCTGATGTCCATCGCTCGCCGAGGTCATTTCCTACAATCTGAGCGACGTTTGCTTATCACAATTACAACTTCATTATTTTCTCACCATGTTGGACTAGCCAATTCGTCGTTTCTGATTGATTTTCTCCCAGTTTTGTCACACTGTACTATTGCCCACGGTCGATCGGATTGGCCAGGGTAAGCGGTGGTCACATAGTCAGCTCTGTTTGCGAGCGCAGAACCACAGATTGTATTTTTACAAAGAACTTTTGCTTTGTTAGCTTTAATTTGCCCCATTTACTTCCAACAATAACACCAACCCCGAATCCGTTTCGTCTCGTTGAAGCGACCCACATTTTCGTCCTCTCCGCAGTTCTCCCCCCTAGTTCAGTGTACGTGGTGACGCACTTTCGGTTCACACGATATTTTTCGTGTAGATATTCTGTGTATGGTTTTCATTTCTCTGTCTCGCGCACAGAAACCCATTGTACAAATGGTTTTGGGTAGTTTTTGTGTGAACCTTTCGCGACATACTTCAACCCCCACCACATACACGTCGCTAGGATCATCACTAGTTCCATTTTTCGGGAACGAGTTGTACACAACAACACGTAGCCCAAAGCAAACAATATTTCTTTTGATTCGGTTTCTGTTTCTGGTTTGTATTGGTCGATGAACCTGTCAGGACGTAACCTGAACCTCATGATTTCCCACTGGCCTTTCAGTGCGGTTGACAATGGCGTTTACCCAGTACTTAAGTCAATCCGCCTAACTCGCAATCTGTGTGGCGAGTTTGGGCCAATGACAGATCTTATGACATTACAGACGAAGTATAGTCATTTGCAAAGGGCACTGATGTTAACGGGAGACAACTGAATCTCCCGTCTATGATATTCCCTGACTGAGTGTGCTGTACGAGGCAGCCTCACCGTTCTTAGTGATCTGTTTCGTTCGTGCAGCCGGAGAGGGTGCAACCGACGTATTCTCTCCGTGTTCAGTAACTCGTGTTTCTTTATTTTTTTCTTATGGAACATGAATTCTGTGCTTTGCTACAAGACTAATCCGATTATCAGTTTGGTCAGTGTGCGAACATTGAAGCTAGCTGACTCAGAAATCAAACGAAACTATCAGAACCAGCTCCTCGAATGCCTGCCGGACGGTACGGTGTCGGAGATAAACGGCAACTGGGGAAAAATATCCAACGCGTTACTCAAAGCAGGAGCGTCTGTTTGCGGTACAACCCAGCCAACCTCATCCAAGCATTGGATCTCTGATAGAATCGTGTCTTTTCTGGAGACCCGGCGACAGATCCCACCTGGTCGCCACCACAACTCCACCCGGCGCATCATCCGACGCCAGGTGAAACTGAATGCCCGCGCAGACCGAGAAGCTTGGTGGACCCTGCTGGTCCTAACGACCTTCCACCTGCCCTTTTCAGTTATGGCGGTGGATTCCTCAGCCAGCGCCTGTCTAGCCTATTTGGGTTTATCTGAGAGAAGGAGACCGTCCCAAACAACGGGTGAATCGATAGTGGTACCCATTTTCAAAAAGTGTACTCGCAGTGAATGTAGCAACCACAGAGGTGTTAGCTTGACGCCTGTTGTGACAAGGTTTCTGGCGTCATTGATTGTTCGTCGTTCATGGCGTCACGCGAAGTCTTGACGCGTGAGAATCAAGCGGGATTTCGACCGGGTAGAGGCTGCGTTGACCATATCAACACACTCCTTCAGGTGTGAACAACAACATGTACAGACGACCCACAATCCTAGTATTTCTTGACTTCAAGGGTGCGTTCGATTCTGTTGATCGATCAGTTCTGTTAACTACACTTGCTCAACAGGGTATGCCCCCAGAAGTTTGTAAACATAATCCGACCTCTACATTCACATACTTCTGGGCGCGTGAGGATGTATGGTGAGCTCTCCACAAGCTTTCCTACAAAAAGTGGTGTCAGACAAGGATGTCCACTCTCCCCATTCTTGTTCAACTTCGTCATCGATGAAATAATGAGGCGAACACTGGACGGTTTTCAAAACCCCGGT